CTAATTTTACGATTTTATTCGCATAATGTTTTGACTTCATTCTGGTAAAGTTAGGTCTTTATTCTCCTAATTTCATGATTTTATTCTCATAATGTTATGACTTTCTTCTCCTAATTTTACGATTTTATTCGCATAATGTTTTGACTTCATTCTGGTAAAGTTAGGTCTTTATTCTCCTAATTTCATGATTTTATTCTCATAATGTTATGACTTTCTTCTCCTAATTTTACGATTTTATTCGCATAATGTTTTGACTTCATTCTGGTAAAGTTAGGTCTTTATTCTCCTAATTTCATGATTTTATTCTCATTATATTATGACTTTATTCTCATAATTTTATGACATTATTCTCATCATATTAAGACTTTATTCTCGAAAATCCTAAAACCGGCTCACAAGTTATATGAAATGATTCCTGTCAGAAAACATTTTAAAATGTTCCGTATCTTTTACATTTTCTTTTTATAATGTGTTGAGCAGATCCCTTTCCAAATCCTCGGATTCAAAGTTTCAGCGTTAGCATGACAACAGAAGCAAGAAGAGCTAGCTTAATGTCAACTTAAAGGATTAGTTTAGCTTTTTTAAGTTTCTGTAAAGTTTTATTGATAAGATTAGTAGATAAATAACAATTACAAGCTCAGTGTAAAGTTAATACATCCCAGACAAGCATGTGAGATTTAGGTTTTATCTTTTCTAGTTTGTTAAAGTGGCGCACATCTTGTTAGCTTAGCTGTTCACCACTTCAACGACATTTAGCTTAAGGCGGTTCATCCTCTTCTTACTATACAGTTATAAACATAAAAATCTGACTCTTTTGCTTCACAATCTGAAATAATCTTTTCAAATACATACAATAAAGAACCAGCAAACAAATGACAACAGTCTGAACAAATGTTTTCTTTTTTTTTCAGGTTTTCTCATATACAGCAACTCTCCTTTACTTCGTCCACACGATATTGTCTGCCATTCGATGGAAATCTTTCTAGAACCTGAAAGCCTCATGAGATCCGCAAGAACAAAACAGACATTTTATTGCAGTACGTAAAGCTGTGGCCTGCTGACAGGATGGAGGTCATAGAGATCTCCTTCCTACTGGGTTTTAGTTTCTGAGAAAGCTTTGAATCAACATCCGGTTTATCATAAAATGTCAGCTTTGAGAAACCGGAGAGCAATGTGGCCCCATAGATGACCCTAATGGTTCATCAGCAGATCGACAGAACTTTTAAACAAGTGACAAACCCTGGCAGCATTATTGTAACCCATGTTTTTAAATTTTCCTGCTATTAAAATCTTTTTTTTTTTTTACTATACTAAGAAAAGATAATCACCTTGTTTAATAAATCTGAGCTCCTAAGTTGGTTAAATCTAGAGCCTAATATTTACCAGTTACTGCTGTTTATTACCTCCTATTATGACAACTTTTTAAAGTCTATATGAATTTAAACATATCACTTTGACGACTGTCCACAACAAAGGTTTTTTTTTTTATGTATTTTTATATTTTTTCTGTCATAATAGTTTTAAATATAGCATTAAATCTGATGTAAAATTCGGTATGCATTAAAAAGTATACAAATGGGGATTTTGAATCAGTTTTTGTAATTTTATTTGTTCTAAATGTTAAAATTGTGAATCTCATTTAAAATAAAAACGCATTGTTTTGATTCAAGACAGCAAAAATGTAATTATCTTTCCAAAGCATGTCAAGAACTCGACTTCATTCTTCTTGTTCCTCATATCAGTTTATCTTTAGCCGCTGTTGAAGCTCTGAATAATGTCGCCCTGCTAAAAGGCATTAGCGTGAACGTTTCTTTCTTCATGGTTGATCCCTCTCAGTGTCAGTGAAGGAAACACAAAACAACGGCAGAAGAGACACAAAACCAGACGGGATGCCTTGTTGACATTTAAATATTTCATTAGCTGAGATATCAGGCGAAACCTTGAAGGTGTGGAGAGGTCACGCCCTACTTAACGCACTACAAAAGGTGTTGGTTGCGGTGGGGCACGGTCATCAGGGATTCAATGAGCTGCCTTCAGACGACAGTTTCAGCAGAACAGGAGTATCTGCGACTGAAAATCAAAAACTCACCAGAGGGGGAAGGTTCAAATGTTTGTTTTCTCAATTTATCTGTAAGCTTTGCAGACAAAAGCAGAAACCATGTGAAATTAAAATGGCCAGTGTGGCACAGAAAAACACCAAGAGAAAAAAATCAGACTGGATCCAAAAAATTGTAGAGCTCTGTTTTTTTATATATATATTTGCAAAAAAAGAAAAAAACTTTTTACATTTCAAAGCAGAGAAGCAGGGGTTCCACTTTTTTCAATCACAGCAGAAGCACCTGGAAAAAAGACGCACCTACATTTAAGCAACCCAGCTTTCTAAAGCATCAGCCTGTTAGCCTCGTGAGACCATCCTGATCTC